ACCTCAGACTCCTGGGCTCAAGCGATCCTACTGCCTCAGCCTCCCGAGTCGCTGGGACCACAGGCATGCGCCACCATGCCCGGCTAATTTTTTCTGTATATTTTTAGTTATCCAGATCATTTCTTTCTATTTTTAGTAGAGACGGGGTCTCGCTCTTGCTCAGGCTGGTCGAACTGTTGACTTTAAGCGATCCTCCCATCTCGACCTCCCAAAGTGCTAGGATTACAGGTGTGAGCCACCGTGCCCGGCCACTTCATCAATTTTTAAACTGAAAATGTAGGGCAAGGGGCAAAGTGTGACCAAGCAGTGTTCTGTATTTTTTAATTTGCTTTTGGAATAGTATAATAGTATAATAAAGATGTCATTTTCTAAATATGGATATTCACACCCTATTTTAAATCCTGAGCCAGTTCCTAACAGGTAGGTTCCCAATAGGATGCTAGGTTGACCTCCTTCCTGTCTAGTCCTGGTATGTGTAGGAAATACAAACTTATTTGAATAGCAGCTCACATTAACTATGATTTTAAAAGTAGATCAACTGTGAGAATTAAGCATTTTCTTGAACGAAATATTTGTCCTTGGATCCTGCGCATTAGCCTGGCTGAGTCATGTCTGAAGTCAAGCTGTAAGCAGGATTTCAGTACCTTCTTCTTGACCTGCCCTCTTCACTGCAGAAGCCAGGAGACTGGTCAGTCCTCATAGGTTTTGTTAAAAACATCTTTTGTGCTTGTCCCAAATGGGTCATGTCTCATCGAGAATCTCCAGATCCTTGAAACTTCATGTTCTCATGCAGCGGGGAAGCCCGAAGTGGGAGGAGGCCACGTGGCTAAATGGCTTCCCTGAGGCACATGTGGCCTGGGAGGGCATTTCCTACCCCAGATCTTGTAGCCTTTCTTTCCGCAGCCATGAGACTCTCCAGGTGTGCCAGCATCAAAGCCTGAGGTACCGGCGGTACGGGTGCTCCTGTTCAGGACACATCTGAATTGCACATTCCCTGCGGGTGCTGTTTGATGTGCTTGATTGTAGGATGAAAGCCAAATCAAGGAGTGAGAGGGCCTGTTTATGTCCTCGTTTTCAATGCTGTTCCTTGGGGCCCTTCTGTGTCGGAGGAAAGAATTTGTGAAAAAGACTGGAATACCACCTAAGCAGAAAACACAAGCACCTACTTACTATTATCTCTGGAAGCTGTTGGCCTCAAGCAGAGGAGTCCATGCCCCTAAAGAGCTTTATGGAGGAGGAAAGTAATGCCACCTCGGCCTCACACTTTCTCAGCTGTGCCATCCGTGTCCCCTCTTGCTGAAGGGAGGTGACAAGGCCATTGCAGTTCTTTCTGATTTTTTTTTTTTTTGAGACGGAGTCTTTGTTGCCCGGGCTAGAGTGCCGTGGTATCATTCTAGTTCACAGCAACCTCAAACTCCTGGGCTCCAGCAATCCTTCTGCCTCAGCCTCCCAAGTAGCTGAGACTACGTAGAGGCATCGCCACCATGCCCGGCTAATTTTTTCTATATATTTTTAGTTGTCCAGATGATTTCTTTCTATTTTTAGTAGGGACAGGGTCTTGCTCTTGTTCAGGCTGGTCTCGAACTCCTGACCTCAAACAATCCTCCTGCTTCGGCCTCCTAGAGTGCTAGGATTACAGGTGTGAGCCACCGCGCCTGGCCCAGTTCTTTCTGAATTGCTCTAATCCCCTGCCTCCCAGTTGAATGGCGGAGACCAGGAACTAGAAGGAACTAGAAGGGACATAATGATATAGGTGCCCATATTGTTTACAGATAGGGAAACTGAGACTGGGGTGAAAGATTCAGTGAATGGCCCTCAGTTTCCCCAGTGGCAAAGCCAGAATAGCTCCCAGGATCCGCTCCTGACTCCTAGTACAGCACTCCGGTGATGAAACAGGGTGGAGTGGACAATTGGCAGAGACTAAATACGTTAAATCTCCATTTACAAAGAAAGTCCTACGCAGCTGTGGTTCCCAACCCCCCGGCCACGGACAGGTTCTGGCCCTTGGCCTGTTAAGAACTGGGCCACACAGCAGGAGGTGAGTGGCAGGCAGGCAAGCAAAGCTTCACCTGTATTTACAGCTGCTCCCTCCCCTCCCCCATCACCATATAAGCTCCGCCTCCTGTCAGATGTGGGGGGCATCAGGGTCTCCTAGAAGCACAAACCCTACTGTCAACTGCACGTGCGAGGGATCGAGGTTGCTGCTCCTTATGAGAATCTAATGCCTGATGATCTGAGGTGCAGCTGAGGCGGCGATGCTAGCACTGGGGAGCGGCTGCAAAAACAGATTATGGTTGGCAGAGGTTTGACTGCACAATAAATGTGATGTGCTTGAATCGTCCTCAAGCCATCCAACCCCCAACCTCCCCATCCGTGGAAAAATTGTCTTCCATGAAACCGGTCCCTGGTGACAAAAAGGTCGGGGACCGCTGCTCTACAGGACTAGAACAGATTCTGCAGCACAGCACCCAGGGAGCCAGAGCACTTCATAAACTGCTGAAGAACTTGAAGTAACCCTGGATATTTCAGCGAAGCTGTTTTTGGTGCTGCGTGTTTGGTACAAAGTAACAGGGAATTAGCTCGTTGTAAAAGCTGTGGGGTGAGACTGCCCTCTAGTGGGCCAGTGGAGCCATTGGTGTAGCCAGCTCTGGGCAATGTTGCTTTTTTACACCACGTCAATGTGGAGTGATTATTCCTATGGAAGGAATTCGTGTATTATTCTTTGTCACGCACTCTGGCCAATAGTGACTCTATTGATCTGTGAGCACTAGCCATCATTTGCTCATTTTATAGAAGTGTGGTTTTTATTTTTGGTTCACACACACACACACACACACACACACATACACGGTGTCTTACTTCCCTAACAAGATTCAGGCTCCTGAAAGCCAGGGGTATATCTTTTTTTTTTTCTTTTATTTCAGCATATTATGGGGGTACAGATGTTTAGGTTACGTATGTTGCCCTTGCCAGGAGTATATCTTAAGTTTTGTTCTTCCGTAGCTTCTCCCGTCTTGTTCACTTAGCTGGATATGAAATTAGAAGGTTCATTTGGATGGAAAGGAATCCTCTCTCACCACCACCCCCAGAATAATCCTGTCACTTCTCATTTGTTCCTAAAACATTCTAATCTCATTTCTCCGATCAGTAGTTGCCCAAGCGGTTGAATCATCTGCATCCTTCAGAAAGCTTACAGAACTCAGTTTCCTGGGCCTGACTCCAGCCCTGCTGAATCAGTCTCTGTGGTTCGAGCCAGGAAATCTGCTTTACAAACTTCCCAAGTGGCGTTTTTGATGTGTAGCCAGGGTTGGCAGCCAAATGCTCCAAACCCCATTTACAATTATTTCTCATAGCTCCCCCCGCCGACAGTGTCTCCAAAGGTCTTCAGCTTGTGTCACTTATTAAAAGTGACCGTTTTGAGATTCATTCAAAAATACTCAATATGCTATTCTAACTGGGTGACATGGGAAGGAAGACGGGGCCACAGGAGATGGACCAAAGCTTTTGCTTTGGTTGCCAGTGGCTCTGTGTTTATAGCAGAAAATCCTGAAACCAATCCTCCATGCTGACTGGGCAGGTTGTTGATTTGTAGTTCACTTTTAATGTTTGAGCTGGATAGGGAGGAAAAGGTTTATTGAGTACCCAGTTACTTAGTTCCACCTATTCCAGGTCATCAGGTTCTTGGGGTGACCACGCAAGGTAGGCATTGTCCTCTTTTACTGAGATGGGAAAATTGAGGCTTAGGAAAGTTAGGTAACGTGCCCAAAGTCACCTAAGTAGGTAACTGTCAGATTGTGCATTCAATTACAGGCCTGATTGCCAAGGCCAGCTTTGGAAAGGTAAGCGGACCAGAGGGCCAACCTGCTCTTTTTTACTCTGCCAGGCCAAGCGAGCAGTGCAGCGAGGAGCTACTGCAGTCATCTTTGATGTGTCCGAAAACCCAGAAGCTATCGACCAGGTAGATTCCTTGGGCCCCGCCAGTGCTGCAGGCTCTTTAGTTAGCTTGGCTTGTTACAGTCGTGTCACCCTCATCTCGGGGCCTTTGCTCTCGTCTACTGAAGTTAGATGTTCACGTTTTGACATCATAAGCAAGGGAGGTATATCGAGAGGGGTTAAGAGCCAGGGAATTAGGGGATTGGGTGGGGGGTACGTTTTCAAAGAACTTGGTGGGCCTTCAGCCTGCCCAGTCCATCCTAAAACAAACAACATTCTCAGCCTTGCCCTTCTGGGAGCTCCAAAGCTACAATGCTTGAAGCATTTGAGGATTTCCAGATGGGTATTGAATCTTCTTTCCCTCCAGCCTTTTCTTCCTCTCTCCTGCTTCTTAAAGTAAGTATGTCTTTTAACCAAGGCCCTCTCTTCTTCCTTAGCTAAACCAGGCCTCGGAAGACCCGCTCAAGAGGCCGGTGGTGTATGTGAAGGGCGCAGACGCCATCAAGCTGATGAACATCGTCAACAAGCAGAAAGTGGCTCGAGCACGGATCCAACACCGCCCCCTGCGAGTGAGCCTCCGCGCTGGCCGGCCCGGGCTCGGTGCCTCCTTTGCCACTACCTGTGCCCTGATTTTCCTCGGGCTTTGGGCTTTCATTCCTGTCTTTTTTCTATCTGAAATGCCGGCCTACCCTGGGGGCCTGCAGGTTTAGATCAGCTGTAGGGCTGGAGGCCAGGGAGAAATTTCACCCATGTTCCTTTATAGGGAATTTGACAAATCCTACCAGAAATAGATGATCATTGCTAAGATGTCTCTGATCTCTTCCACCTGGCATTCCCTCTTGGCGACCTCTCATCCTTTCTCTTCCATCCCATCTCCCTCTGAAAGGCAAACTGAGGAGGCCTGAAGGGGTGGGACACCCATTACCTGGCTTCCTGTGTCTCCTTTATTCCTTGACCTAGACACTAGAGAAAAGGCCTGTACTTCTTTCTTCCCGTAGGGTAAATTACCTTATTGAAGCTCCCTAACTTACATTTGGGTCCGGAAAAGTTAGCTGTCAACTGGGATGGGATTCCATGGCTAATGAACAGCATCTAGGCTCCTCAGTGTTTGAAGGGACACTGCTGGCCACTAACTCTTGGTAGTCATCGTCTCCTCAGGCTAGAGAACTCTAAGAACCTGGGGCAGGTGCTCCATATGTGTTTTATTCAGTCCTCACACATACTGGGACTTTCACATGTAGGATGAGTCTTTCACACGCACGAAGTAACTGAAAATACACAGCATGCATTTAGCAAAGCTCTGTTGGCTAAATGCGTGTCCTGGGTGAGGTGGCTTCAAGGTTTTAGGAAGCAGTGTGCTATGACGAACTAAAACTAGAGGGAATTTTCAGAAGAACTGACTTGCTGGCTTTTTAAAGGAAAAAAAGTGCTTTGGTAAATATGACTCATTGTAGTGGAAGCTGATATTTGTGGAAGCAGCGTACAATTTTCTGAGTTGTTGTAAACCATTAATTATATGGTTAGTAATCACTGTTCCCTCAAAACATGACACTCACTCTTTTGTCCTTTAAATGTGATTATTTGTGTTTATTTGGAAGGGCCTTCCTTACTGGTTACAGCAAACTTTGTGCTATTCTGTAAAGAGCCAGGCTTTGTGAACAGAGTTCCCTTGGCTTTTAGGGGGCCTGGCTGAGACCACTGCAGGCCTCCCCCTGGCCACACTGAAGGCACTGCCTGGTCCTCAGGAGCACACTGTGCGCATGTACGCAGAAGCCCAGGAGTTTCCTGCAAACTGAGGGGAAGCTCACCCCAGTCGCTCCGTCCTTATCCAGCAGCCCATGTGCTGATGGCCGGGCTGAAGAGAGGCCGTGATTCACTGTGTCTGTGTTCTGTTCCAGCAACCCACTGAATACTTTGACATGGGGATTTTCCTGGCGTTCTTCGTCGTGGTCTCCTTGGTCTGCCTCATCCTCCTTGTCAAAATCAAGCTGAAGCAGCGACGCAGTCAGGTAATCCCTCTGTGCAGCCTGCGAACTTGACCCCTGTTACCCTGCCGCTGGTAAAAACCAGGGCTCTCAACCAGCTCATCGTCTGATGGTCCAAAGTGGAGCCTCTCCCAGCCGTGGACTCGGCTCCGCAGCCTGTTCACAGTGGCCGGGAAACAGCAAAGATGGGGAAGAACAAGAGCAAAACTTAACAGCACTCTGCCTTCTCTATTCTGAAAGGGCCAGCCCTACAAAGGCCAAGCGCTGGGGATGTCTCCAGCCAGTTTTTCAAAGGAAATGTTTAAATAAACGTCAGTGCGACACGTTAGAGCCTTGCCCCTCAGCTGGGATCTGTGGTCCAGCAGCAGTGTCACCTGGAGCTTGATAGGAGTGCGGAACCCCAGACTCCCCAGTCTACCGAGCTCTCCGGGCGATTCTTGAAAAACAGTGGCCACGGCAGCGCTCCAGTGGCCACACCGTGTATGCTTATGGGAAGAAAAGATTCAGAGGTGGAGAGAGGTGAAAGGGTAAACAGGGTTCTCAGCTCTCCAGTGTATGGCAGGGTCATGTCTCGGGAGAGAGACGGAGGCTCTTGGCGGGCAGCCTGTTGAGAGAATCGCGTCAGTTCTCATGAGGGTCAAGTGACCACCACGGACAGAATAACAGCTGGTGTTTATTGAGCACGGCCTGTTTGCCAGGTGCTAGACGCCCACACGTTGTCTCATTTACCCACACTACTTCCTTCAAGAGAGACAGGAGGAACCCTCATGGAGCAGGTTAATAACCTGGGGTCTAGCAGAGTTGGGAAGTGGTAGGGCCAAGTAATGGAAGGAGACCCCTGCCTTCAAATTGAAGGGGAGAACTTTGCTAGTCCTGCCACTTGGGAAAAGCCCAGGTTGATGGGTTGATGTTGCGGATACTCCAGGGATCTGGAATGTAGATGCTATGGCAGTCTGAGTTTTGAGTGATTCTCAAAATTCTGTCATGGCGTGATAAGAAGTATTCGTCTACAGCCATACCACCCTGAACGCGCCTGATCTCGTCTGATCTTGGAAGCTAAGCAGGGTCGGGCCTGGTTAGTACTTGGATGGAAGAAGTATTTGCCTGTCTGTCCCAGTGCACTGAGTACATGGCCCTGGGGTGACCACCACTGTTACATGTAGAAGACCCTAACACAGACCCCTTTATGCTATGCAGAATTCCATGAACAGGCTGGCTGTGCAGGCTCTGGAGAAGATGGAAACCAGAAAGTTCAACTCTAAGAGCAAGGGGCACCGGGAGGGGAGCTGTGGGGCCCTGGACACACTCAGCAGCAGCTCCACGTCCGACTGTGCCATCTGCCTGGAGAAGTACATCGATGGAGAGGTAATGGCAGAGGCAGGGCCTGTCCTGGGTGGGGCTGAGGTGAACAGGTCAGCAGAGGTGCCCAGGACCCAGAAGGACAGGGCCCGATGTCCTTTCCCACACTGAAGGCCTTCACCCAGGTCTCCAGGTGGGATGGCCTGAGATGTTCTAACCACTTCCCCCAAGAGGGTGGCCGCAATGTGGAGACACACACTCCAGAGGACCCAGCTGACACAGGGGATTTCAAAAGTTGATCAGAAACATACAGTAGGCCAGAAAATACCTGGTTAAGAACATTCACACACTGACTTTGCTTTAGAATTGTTCTGAAATCTCTGAAGCTTGACTTGATACATAATTGGCGATTTTTACTCACAAAGAGACAAAGGATTTGCTGTCCCCTTTTTTTTCTTGTAGCTCTTTATTTTGAAATTTTCAAACCTTCAGAAAAGTTGCAAGAACAGTACTGTGTGTGATATATCTCAGTCACCTTGAATCCCCATTATTAACCTTCTGCCACATTTGCTCCATGGCTCTCCAGATAGACACAAACGTACACACACACACGTGGGGGGCGGGAAACACACCACTTAAGAATTGCAAACAAAAAAAAAAAATGAAAAAGAAAAAGAATTGCAGACATTCGGTGCCCCTTTGAAAATGATCCACTGCTGTATAGACTGTTGGATGAAAACTGAGTTTTTGCAGAGGCCTTTAAAATAATATTTAATACATTCTTGCATGGACTCTGGGTTTCCTGGGTTCTAATCATGGCCCAGGTGGATTCTAGCCTTGTGATCTTGGGCAAGTGACTTCATTTTCTGTCCCTGTGCTTGGTGTGGGCCTGAGACTGACCAGCATTCCAGGTGATCACAAAGATGACACAAGAAAATACAGGTAGACTCTGTGAGGCACAGTATTAGGGATTAGTTTGAATGTTATTATGTTGGACAGGTCAGAAAATGAAAAAACAAAGTAAAACTAGCAAATTTGGAGGGTGCTTAGGTTCAGGAACTCCAGAGGTGGTTCTGTCCCAGAAAACCCCATCACATTCTCTCCAAATAGACTGCCTGTGTTATAAACCATGTGCTCATGTGATGAGTGTTCAGGGTCCAGTAGAAGAAGGGACAGGAGAACTTTGCTGTCCCACTTCTCAGTCGTGAGTCCCAGGCATCTTCCTTTCTATTCGTCCCTTTCTGTGGTACCTGGTGGCAGCCACCCCCTTGGAGATACATAATATCTTGGAGTATACCTAGGCCTGTCTCCACACCCCAGGCCTACCCTCACCAGCAGGAAGCTTTGGTCTTCCCTGTGGTTGGGGCTGGCTGATGGGCAGTTTTCTCTAGAACACGTACGTTAGCCCCACCTCCAGGGACTGAGCCGACCTGTGGGGAGGTGGGGAGGAGGGTGGGGAAGGGCACCGCACGATCAGCAGGGCTCCTCAGCCCACGCTGGGCTCACAGGGGGAAGCACGTGTGGGGCAGAAGGCAGAAGTGCCCTCCCACCCGTGCCTGCCCTTCAGGCTGTGACCCCTCTCTCCCTGCCCAGGAGCTCCGGGTCATCCCCTGTACTCACCGGTTTCACAGAAAGTGCGTGGACCCGTGGCTGCTGCAGCACCACACCTGCCCCCACTGCCGGCACAACATCATAGGTAACTGTCACCTGCCTCGGTCGTTGCTGAAGAGTCAAGTCAGAGGACACTGTCCCTACCAAGTGCCTACCTGGAGTGTGGCACACGCCACAGGCTTGGGAGCGAGCAGCACTGCGCTCGGGACTTGTAGCATGGTGGCTTTGGGTTTCGGAGGTTGGCTCTGCCACCCTGGGGAGAGCCTGGCATTAAGAATCGCCAAGATCAAGTTTGGGCTTCATATTCACCAGCTTCCTGACCTTGGGCAAGACATCTAGCCTCTCCAAGCCTGAGGCCTCCAAACTCTTTAGTAGCAATGACAGTAATGTCACTTGCCCACGTCCAGTACTGTGGGGTTGTCCCCAGGGCCACAAGAGATGATGAGTGTGCAGTGGCACGCTTGCACTGTTGTGCTTGCGTCACTGTGTTATTGGATTGGGGGTGGGGGGACTTGCATCCTTGTGTCCCTGTTCCTCTGCAGGCTCCTGTAGTGCCCGTGTCAGGCAGAGCATCGGGGAGGTGGGAGGTGACTTTCACACAGAGTTTGGTGGCAGCTTGGATTGGGGCAGGGTCATAAGAGTAGACACCAAGCCTGTTGCTGCTTCAGTCTTTGCCCTTTTTTTCCAATCTCTTTAGCCCCTAACATCAGCTGACTTTGTTTCCTCTGCCTCTCCCCAGAACAAAAGGGAAACCCGAGTGCCGTGTGTGTGGAGACAAGCAACCTCTCACGCGCTCGGCAGCAGAGGGTGACCTTGCCGGTGCATTACCCTGGCCGCGTGCACAGGACCAATGCCATCCCGGCCTACCCTACGAGGACAAGCATGGACTCCCACGGAAACCCCGTCACGCTGCTGACCGTGGACCGGCACGGGGAGCAGAGCCTCTATTCTCCTCAGACCCCCGCCTACATCCGCGGCTACCCACCTCTGCACCTGGACCACACGCTGGCCACCCACCGCTGTGGCCTGGAACACCGGGCCTACTCGCCAGCCCACCCCTTCCGCAGGCCCAAGTTTAGCGGCCGCAGCTTCTCCAAGGCAGCTTGCTTCTCCCAGTACGAGACCATGTACCAACACTACTACTTCCAGGGCCTCAGCTACCCAGAGCAGGAGGGGCAGCCCCTGCCCAGCCTCGCCGCCAGGGGCCCGTCCCGTGCCTTCCCGCCAAGCGGCAGCGGCAGCCTGCTCTTTCCCACCGTGGTGCACGTGGCCCCAGCCTCCCACCTGGAGAGCGGCAGCACGTCCAGCTTCAGCTGCTACCACGGCCACCGCTCCGTGTGCAGTGGCTACCTGGCCGACTGCCCGGGCAGCGACAGCAGCAGCAGCAGCAGCTCCGGCCAGTGCCACTGCTCCTCCAGCGACTCTGTGGTCGACTGCACTGAGGTCAGCAACCAGGGCGTGTACGGGAGCTGCTCCACCTTCCGCAGCTCCCTCAGCAGCGACTACGACCCCTTCATCTACCGCAGCCGGAGCCCCTGTCATGCCAGCGAGGTGGGGGGCTCAGGCAGCTTGGGCCGGGGGCCTGCCGTGCGCTTCGAGGGCTCCCCGCCACCTGAGGAGCTCCCAGCGCCACCAGGTCACGGCGCTGGGTGGGGAGAGCCTTGGCTAGGCCCTGCTTCTCCCTCGGGGGACCAGCTGTCCACCTGCAGTCTGGAGATGAACTACAGCAGCAGCTCCTCCCTGGAGCACAGGGGGCCCAACAGCTCTACCTCAGACGTGGGGCTCGAGGCTTCTCCTGGGGCCGCCCCAGACCTCAGGAGGACCTGGAAGGGGGGCTACGAGGCGCCATCCTGTGCCTGCTGCTGTGAGCCCCAGCCCTCCAAACTGGGGCCCGGTGCAGGAGCGGCTGGCAGTAGCACCTTGTTCCTGGGCTCCCCGCTCTACGAGGGCCGCGGCCCTGGGGGTGGGGAGCCGCAGCCGGGAAGCTCCCGGGGCCTGCATGGCTTTCACCCAGACCATTTGCCCAGGACAGATGGGGTAAAATACGAGGGCCTGCCCTGCTGCTTCTATGAAGAGAAGCAGGTGGCCCGTGGCAGCGGAGGGGGCAGCGGCTGCTACACTGAGGACTACTCGGTGAGTGTGCAGTACACGCTCACTGAGGAGCCCCCGCCCAGCTGCTACCCAGGGGCCCGGGACCTGAGCCAGCGCATCCCCATCATTCCGGAGGATGTGGACTGTGACCCGGGCCTGCCCTCGGACTGCCAAGGGACCCACAGCCTCTGCCCCTGGGGTGGGACGTCGGGCCCAGATGCCCTGCGGCCCCACAGGGGCCTGGGAGCAGCCCAGGAAGAGGAGCAGGTTCTGTGCTGCCAGGCTGGGGTGCCACCACGGCCTATGTGCCCTCCAGAGGAGGTGGGTGCCACCAGGGCCAGCTTCCCCAGTGCCCCCCAGGACACTCAGGAGTCTATCGCCACGGCTGCTGAGGCTGCAGGTGAGAGGAAATGGCAGTAGGCCAGAGCAAGAGTTTCCCTGGGGGTCCTCTTCTCTCCCCTCAGTCATTTCTGAATGTGCCCTCAGCTTTAAACACTGTCCGTGGTTGACGACTGAATTATTCCCCAACCTGTCCCTTCCTCTGAGTTCTAGACCCAGCGAGCCCTCTGCTTCCATGATCTTGCAGCCCCTCCCCCAGATGCCTCCCCGGCCTCCCCGCATATCATGTCCACAGCACTGATCTCATTCCCCCATCCCACCCCCTTCGCCAAGGCTCACCACCCAGATGCCCAGGCCAGAAACCCAGACGCTATCCCTGTGCCCACCCTGCCCCTCGCGATCCAGCATCCTGGGTTTCTCAAGGACTGAAGGACCATGTTTGCTTGTTTTTACCCCAGTCCGTAAAAACGAATTACCAGGAAAATGAAACTTAGCAAAAGACACGCAAAATACAAGTCAGATTTCTGATTAGATTCAACAGACATTGGATTGCTATAAAATTTCTAAACATTTTTGTCTCAGTAATAAACTGTGTAGTCTAGTACCTCTGAGTAGCACAGCGACAAGTTCCACCTCCAAAGTACATCCCAGTGTATCTGCTGTTCTCTGCACCCTGCTGCGATCCCCTCAGTCCAGCCCCAGTTCCCCTCTCCAGGGCAAAGGCAGTGGCCTTCTGACCAGTGTACTGTTGCTGGTCTCGCCTTCTACTCCGCTTGGGAGCCAGGATGTTGAAACATAAGTTGATGTCTTTGTGGTTTACCTTTAGGATTTCACAGATGTTAACTCCTTGCCCAGTTCTGTGTGATCTGGTCCCGGCCAACCTGTCTGACCAAATCCCATTTCCTTGCTAGCTGCTTTAGCCCCCTGTGGCCTCTGACCTGTTCCGTGCCAAGCTCATTCTAGCTCCCAGACCTTGGCCCTACTTCTCTCCTCCAAATCTCGGCCTAAATGACCCTCCGTCCCCCTTCGAAGTCACTTTCACACACTATATTTACTTCCTAAGTCATCTCAATCCAAATTACTTTGTTTTCAGGCCTGCAAGCTCTGTGAGGGCATCCTCTCTGGTCCTCTTCCTGGTGCCTGACACACACTGGCCACCCAGTTAACATCTTGTGTACATTGTGTTTTCATGCTTCCTAAGGGCTTCTAGAAGGCTCGGCATGTCCAGGGGAGGGAGGCTGGCTCTCCAGGGGGCACAGACTGAGCCCCTCTTGGAAGAGGAGCCCTGCCTCGGCCCTGTGGCGTACACACAGCCTGTGCGCCCCTGCAGGCTGTCACTTCCTACAAGCCTGACACGCGCCAGGGGCGGGGCCACCTGAGTCCGTTGCCTGGTCCCTGCGGTGCTGGCTTCCTCCCCTAATGACTGTTCTCTCTCTCCCAGGATCTCGCCCAGCAGACAGCAGCAGCACGGGAGCCTGAGCTCGGAAGGAACTCTTATCTGGAAATCGGAAACTGTGTGGAGACTCCAAACTCTGGCTTCCTTCAAAAAAAAAAAAAAAACAAAATTTTTTTAGCTTTGACAAACACACAAAAGTGGTAATAAAGAGAGCCCTCCTTCTCAACCCAAAATGTGAGCCACCTGTGGCAAAAACCACCCCCTTCCCCATTAACAAACCAACAGACAAAATTCTGAGTCCTTTGCCTCTTTTGATAACATGTTATTCTGTTTTGTAAAGTGTGTGTGCTTGGGGTTCCAAGGTGTGTGGAATTGAGTTCTCTGCTTTGTTTTTTTTAAAGATATTATATGTAAATGTAAAAAGTTATTTAAATATATATTTTAAAGAACCCTAACCGCCAACTTTTGCTGAAAAAGAAAAAAAAAAAATCACTGCTGCATTAAATGAACCACATCATGTGTAGATACTGTTGTCTCCCCGGAGGGAGCTCAGGCCTTTGAAAAGCTCAGGGCTACACCTGCCTTAGAAAATGAACCAGAAACTTGAAGTAAAGCTAGTTGATATGGGTACAAATTCTGAGGAACAATGCAAAGCTGCCTCTTTCTTTCTTGTGGCAAATCCCAATGTACAAAGTGTCGGGTCTTCTTGGAAGCCATTCCTCTCCAGCCCACACCTTTAGGCAGGTGATGGAAGCAGCTAGGAATGGGGTGTACAAGGTCTGCGGCACTGGGGAGTCGGGTCAAGCCATTGCCCCAGAAGCTCTAGGGTGATAGGGACGATTTAGGAACCTAGTGTCCTCCACCTGTCCCCTTGAGTCATTGTCCCAAGGAAAGTGACAAGAGGTCTCAGCCCTGATCTTAGTGGAGATCCAGGTCATAGTAAGGGCAGTGTTCTTGGCGGGGGGGTGGGGGGGTCCTCTATTTGAACTCTGACCCCTGGGGCAGGGAAGAGGAGACTCTCCCCCCTCGGTGGTCCTGACATTGGAGTCCTTTGCAAAAATACTTTGGGCTTCCTGCCACTGGCTGCAGAAATGGCTCGACGGGTGTGTGGGGGCAAACACCCAGGAGGAATATAGTTTTGTGGCCTTGGTGTCTGATGGGGCTTGGGGAGGGTGCTCTCCACCCACCCAGCTGGGGTATGCCTGTGCGCATGCATCTGTGTGAGGGCAGCCACGCCCCTTGGCTGCTGTTTCCTTGGGCTGCCTTCCTGGGGGCACGTGCCCAGACCCCATGAGGTCTGCACTGAGCTCCATTTGAATGATCCCTTTCCCATCCCGTTCCCCATGGAGTACTGCTGCAGGGTTATTCAGCCCTCTGCCTCATGGCTGAAATTGTTCATCTCGCCTGCAAATGTCTACTATCCTGTCTACCTAATGCACTATTATGTATTGATTTTCCACGAGACAGAGAGAGAGGGAGACTATCAGATAGTTTAGACCCAAAGGGTAGGTTTTTGTATATTTTTCCAGCCTTCTGGTGTTTTTTTCCTTTAAGGAGGAGGGGGGAGAATTTAAAAACCCAACCCGTTTTGTTTTTAAGATGTTTCATTTTTGAAAGGGAGAGAGAATCTATTTAAAGCTATTCCAGATCAGGGATTTTCATCCTTTCTGTCCAATGTATTCCTTGTTCTTAAAAAAATTTTTTAGAGGAAACTCTATTAGCCCTTGTGTTCACTAACTCTTCTGGTCACTTTTATTTCTTCATTCAGATATTTGTTGCCATCCGAAAAAGTTTGGCCCATTGGGTCTAAAAGCTCATTTGTGGAATAGGAACCTTGGGATGTGGTCGCTGTAGATAGGGAAATAAGGACCACTGTGGGTTGCCAGGCAACTGTGATGACCCCTCTCTGGTCAGGCTCACAGGAAGTTGGCCCAGGGTCCAGACAAGAACGTTTTGAATGAGAATCTCACTATATCAGAATCCTTTTCTCTTAAAAACCCTAATGTATGATGAGGAAATTTACTTATTTCTAGCCAGGATCTGACAAAGAAATTCCAGCATCAAATGATCAAGCCATTTGCCACTTAGGGACTCACTGCACTGAGATTGTCTTCCAGCCTCTGGGGTGCAGTCCCTTAGGGGGTGGTCCCCGGGGCTGTGCCCAGCACACCTGTTGGCGAGGGTGTGAGAAGCGCCTAAGCTGTTGACATGTGATCCGGGCCGCCTTTATTTCTCGGGCCAGGAGTAGCAGCTGCTGAGGACAACAGCTTGCATGACGTGGTTTTAGGAAAGGGGGGTGTGGCTTTTAACATGAACTGCAAAAAGCAGCTTCTCATTGTTGAGATTTTTTGTTTGTGGTTTTGCTTTTTTGTTTTTCATGCCTTTGGGTGCATATTATCTTCCTTGTCTGAAACCGTACTCCTGAAGTGGCTTTCTTTAGCCCTGGCTTGAAAACCACTCCTCAATAGCCTTAAGCAATAAACAGATGAGTAGAGAATGTGGCTTCCACTGGGCTTATTAAAATAAATTTGTCCAATTTTCACTCGAAAGAATGGTAACTACAGATGGCAAGGAAACATTTAAATTTTAATTAATGAACTTTTAAAACCTTAAATATCAACCATCGTCTTTCAAATTTGTGTTAGCTTATCAGGGAGATTACAGGATAAAATAACCAAATATCTTATTTCATCACCATTTAAATCAAAAGGAATGTCCTCTTTGAAGTCGTAAGACTCCAATAATGATAAGTATCTTTTTCGGGGGACTCTCAGTGGTGTGTAATGGTTATATAGCCACAGAAACTGGGAGCATCTCGTTTTCCACTGAGAAACTCCTCCAAGTCAGGGTGTGATGGTTGGACATGACCAAGTGACCCAGCCCTGGGTGTAGGACAGCCATGGAAACTTAAGAGTTCTAGAACCAGCTAAAAATGGAAGATTGGGTGTTCTGACCAACAAGGTACCTGTTTAGGGATACAGCCCCGGTAAGCTGGCTTTAACTCTCTCAGTCCTGTCCCCTTTTCCTCCAAACCCAAGCCCCTTTATAAAGCCCCATCTGCTGTCCCACTGCTCAGACCCCCGCCCCCCTTATGTGCTGCTAGTCTCTACTCAAAGTTCATGCAAGACTAATGCTTTTAAAATGAGGTCTAAGAAAGAATTACTAATCAAGAGTATTGTTTTTTAAACAGAACTGCCTTTTTCTACTCTTTATATAAACTCTATTGTGTTGGTCTAACAAGGCACTATTTTAAAAAAATTTTTTTTTAATTTCTCCCATAGCACTTAAAGATATTTTGTAAAGACTTTGCTGTAAAGATTTTGTAATAAAATGGTCTAAGGGCTCTTTTTCCAACATTACCATTTTTTAAAAATGTTTTAAAAGCTAGAAAACAACTTATGTATATTCTGTATATGTATAGCAGCACATTTCATTTATGGAAATATGTTCTCAGAATATTTATTTACTAATATATTTATCTTAAGCCATGTCTTATGTTGAGAGTGTGACATTGTTGGAATAATCATTGAAAATGACTAACACAAGGCCCTGTAAATACATGATAATTGCACACAGATTTTACATATTTGCAGACCAAAAATGATTTAAAACAAGTTGTAGTCTTCTATGGTTTTGTAACAAGTTGTACAAATGACTGTAAAAAAAAAATACAATTTTATCAAGTATGTGTTATGTGTTGTCATCACTCTGTTCGGTAAATGGCTGTAGATTCTACAAAGGAGCGGTGTTTGCATGGGGCAGTGCTTTTTAACTTAAACTTGACCATGGAAGCATTCGGATAGCACCCTCTCCTGTTAACATAGAGTCCAGATTATTGGAGATTTAGGTGGTGTCTCGGAGAGGATCTACTAGAGTGTGGGTTTATGTCCTTGAAGTGGTGGTAAGCTTTTCGCTCAGCCCGGTGTGGAGGAAGCTAGGGAAAGTGGTAGACAGTGACCAAGAATCTACCAATCTACTTTTAAAAAATAGGAACCAGGCTGGGCGTGGTGGCTCACGCCTGTAATCCTAGCACTCTGGTAGGCCGAGGTGGGCGGATTGTTTGAGCTCAGGAGTTCGAGACCAGCCTGAGCAAGAGCGAGACCCCGTCTCTACTAAAAATAGAAAGAAATTAATTGGACACCAAAAAATATATATAAAAAAATTAGCCAGGCATGGTGGCACATGCCTGTAGTCCCAGCTACTCGGGAGGCTGAGGCAGGAGGATCGCTTGAGCCTGGAAGTCTGAGGTTGCTGTGAGCTAGGCTGATGCCATGGCACTCTAGTCTGGGCAACAGAGTGGAACTCTTATCTCAGAAAAAAAAAAAAAATTGGGGAACCGTAGGCTGGCTATAAACCATCCGCTTTATCTGCCAGGCCTTTTCCTACCTTGAAGACTGAGAGACAGACCCTCAAGCCCTTGTAGGAAAAAAACCTGCAAGCATCTAGCCCTTGAAATTTTCCAATCATGAGTGACAGGCTCTAGGTCTTGAGTGAATCCGGCACCCATTTGTTTTGCTTCCCGGAGAGGGTAGTCATTAATTTGTAAAGCACTATTGAGATGACGTGGAAAATGCAAAAGAGGTGTTTATTTTTCAGACATCTAGCAGAGAATATCCAAATCCCATGTTCCTATTTTTCGCTTTTTAACTCGGGCCGTTTCTTGAGCACAGGCTGCTCTTGGGCATCTAGACGCTTGCTGCCTGGAAACGGGTCCCTCTGAGCACTTTCACGGGTGGCAGCCTGACCACACAGAGCCTCCCAGAGCTTCTGTTTAACGATCTTGCCCACCTCCAAGCTGTGCCTCTTGGGGGTCCTGAAGGGTTCCGCAACATGGGCTCCGGCACAGCACGGTGCAGAGCCCGGTACCCTTCCGCGGGGAGGCCGTGGATGGTTAGCGTGTCCTCCGACAACTGCTGCCTCTTTCGGGCTTTAGGAAGCAACACTTGGCCCTTCCAGGCTGCTGTCGCACTGTCCCAGGGTAGCACTTGGGTGGCGGCCACATGTTCAGCATATCTGTCCTCAAGATCTTGGCGGACTGTTGGTTTTTTCTCCTTTGAACTTTCTTTGCTCTAGCCAGGAAGAAAGCAGAGAAGTCAAAGCTAAAACTTGAGAAGGGAGCTCAGAATAATTATCTGGGATTTGTGTCCCAGAGTCTTGGTTAAAGCAACAACCAACATTTGTCTACCATGTTCTAGTTTACGGAATTCCTTTATGTGTACCACTGCGTGTGTTCCCCATAACCCTGTAAGGTCAGCGGGAGACGGCTTTAAAGGCAAGGAAATTGGAATGGGTTTGCCCAAGGCCACACAGCTGGAAGGTTAATAACCACAGCTGTCATCTGTTGAATACCACTTGGGATCCTAATTATTTACTCTGTGCCAGGCTCTGTTCAAAAGCCCTTTGCATGTATTAACTCATTTAATCTTCATGAATCCCTAGGAGGGAAGGGCCATTATCCCCCTTTTTATATGATAATATCAAGGCACAAAGAAATTAAGCCCAAGGTCATCCTCAATTATAGTCAGAGTTGGGATTTGAACCCTGACAGCCTAGCTCCAGGGCACACTGAACTCTGCTGGCCACCATGGGGTGACAGAGCTGGACTCAGGCCTTGGAAAGCCAGTTCTCCACGTGGAAGTTGACAGCCACATCTATGGTGGACCTCTGGCATGCGTATGTGCACCAGCACACACTGCCCGCATCCTCGCTGCCTTTCTCACCATTATTTCCCTTTCACGGCAAGTTCCTCTTGTCTGTGTATGAAAGCCACCTCGTCCTTCTACAGGACTGAGCAGAGTGTAAGTAATAAATAGCATGACTCCAGATCTGGTGCTCGCTCCCCTCCATCACGCTACACCCACCCCCATCCTGTCTTCAACTTCAGGATTTCCTTCACTTGGTAGAAATCTGGGCGTTAAGTGTTCTCTAGCTTTCCCCTTCCGTCCTCTCCCATCACATTTTCTCCACCACCCGTCATCATCTACCTCTCTGATGCCTCCTGCAGGCCTCCTGCACCCAGGTGAGCCTGGCAGCTGCCCCCTGGCCACTTGCTCTTGGAACTGACAGAGCTTCTTATCCTGGCCCACTGGGTGGCTTTCATTGCCGAATCGTCCTTGGGCTTTAATCTCTTCGAGAGTTTTCCTTCTCCAAACTTGCGTGGTACCGGGCAGCACTCGTCCTTCAGTTGCCGCCTGAGCACAAGCTTAACCAGGGAGAATGGACTGGCGATGAATGGGTTCTTTACAACTTCCCAAGAAGAGGTGGTACCTGGTGCTGAGGCACTGATGCTCTGCTTTGCACACGTTCTGGCCATCCAGATGTTGGTGAGTGCTGGCAAGTCCACATAGCAGTCCTGAAGCCTGGTGTTTAACAAGACAGACTGTCGGAGTCCATAGATGGGGAGGCTGGGGTCTCGTCTCATGTAGATTGGATGCTAGAATTATAAGGGGGGAAAAAGGAATTAACAAAGACCAGTTCTCAAGCAGAGACTAGAAGGTCTACTTTGAAGGCAAAGTATTAACATCTTTTTGAAGACCATTCATTCCACAAAGTTCTTAGAAATCACGCTATGCCCCCTCTTGTGTCCTCTCTCCTGCTCGCCAAAGCCTTTTGTTCCAAGCAGGGAAGAGATAGTAACTTCACAAGGTCACGGTGATATTCAGGCTCTCAAAGAACATAGCTCGTTGAGGCAGGAAGTTACAAGGACTAGAAGATAATTCCTGTCTGCTGGAAACGAGAGGCATAACGAATGGGAGACAAGGTCACTTAAGACTTCTATAGGAGCTGTAGACACTCCTCAACCATGCTGCAACACGGAAATGACAGCAGGTAAGTTCTACCAAACCCTAAATACACTCTCTAGCCAGACTGTCATGGTCAAGAATCGCTGCGACACAGGGAAATATATACACGCTGGGGTCCATAAAGGCAGAAGCACAATGCAAATGATGCTGGCCTCCATTTCCTGGGACCGGCCAAGAACAAGAGAACAACTTGAATAGATTAGAATCACATATTTAAAAAGACCTGACTTTCTAAGAAATGTCATCCATAAAAAAAAATAAAATCACCTTACCATATTTCAGTTGCCTTAAATTTTATTTTAGCTAACTTAGTAGGGGGAAGAAATAGTATTTTCTTTTTCCTTTTTCTCTTTTGTTGTTGTTTTTTTTTTGGTTTTGGTTTTGTTTTGTTTTAATATTTCTAGTCACGGTCTTTCTCTGCCTCAGTCGTGCACTGGCCAATTGCAGTTGGTTTGGATTTTTGGCTCACATACAGGCAGTTTTGAACCATTATCTCTAGTATTTGTGATGTCACTTTGGTTTGTGATGTGAGTGTGGGTGGGTGTTACATCATCAGATTTTATGGTTAAATTATGTTGGAAGAAGTTTTATTTTGTTTTTGCTTACAGTTTCAGAAACTTCTTAAGCCCTCTTTTCCCCCCAAAATGGCTTGGTGTATTTTGAGGGTCCTAATGTTCTTAAGAAGCATACTTTGCACAAACTGTAGTCAAATATGCAGACCAGATTTGTAGATACATGTAGTGAGCTGCACCCCCACGTGTGCAAAAGTGTCCTCCTTCATGCACATAAAGATGGTACTGTTAAAGTCTCAGGATAGCTGCACTGCCAAGGTTAGGGACCAGAAATGAAAAAACACGTTCCTGCAGTCCTGGGCACCTCTCCCTGTGTCTGTGTCTGTCTCTGTCTCTGTCTCTCTTTCTCTCTCTCTCTCAGGGAGAATACATGTTTTCTGGAATGCGGTTTTATTTTACATCCCATGGCAAATGCAGTAATTAGAGCTGTTAGCAGTGTCAAGGGCTTGAAACAAGAACAAAGAAGCCTCTTCCTGGGAACTCTTGGGCAATGCCCCTTGGCTCCTTATCAGGTGCTGGTCCTGCTGGTGGTTTGGATTTTTCGTATGCAAAATGCCAAAGGAGGCTCCCTCCCAAGGGGGAGGAGAGTGAAATGATGGAAAAACAGAGTGCGAGTCTGGCAGAGGCTCCTGGAATCGAATGTGTTGCCTGTTTGAATTTTGAAGTGTTGTCCCTGGAGTGAATCAAAGCCTGCGGGCAGACTGCACCACAGGCCTGGTGGAACCACCTCTAGGCCCACAGCATTTGGACCCACAGACACTTGGGAGGACAATGGTGCCCATTCAGCCACGAGCCCTGGCCTCACCTCCCAAGAGGTGGGTCAGTTTTAGAGCAGAGCCTTGGAAAGGGTTTGTCTTTGGGAGGGGTTTGCGAATGTCTGGGGACTGGGCAGGCAAGCATCCTTTCCGAGCTGGTGAATCTTGGAGAGGTGACACCAGGCTTTTGCGCTACCCAAAAATCACCGTTTGCCTTTACTCTGCAGAGCAGGGAGAGAAGGGAAATGTTGGGTGAAGAAGGCATAGTAGGATTAGCTCTTCTGTTTCTCCTCTCTCCTTCGCCATCTTGAGTTTGGCTTTCCCAAACCTCCTCTTTCCAGATGCTCATCCATTCTATTTACTGTCCTAGTTCTTTTACTCAATGACCAAGTGACACAGCTCTGACTCCGAGGAGCACTTTGAATCTCCTTCTTCTAGCACAGAGCTGTTCACATGGGCGGCACTCTAAATTCGAGCAAATTCTGCCTCTCTCCCTTCAGTGTATCTCACTTCAGGTGACTGTGCCCCAACAGGTAATCCTCACCTTCCTTAAAACTGACCCAGGGTACGTTGGCCTATGCTGTTTCTCCTAGGTCAATAAATTTAGTGTTTACTGGATGCTTTTGAAGGCCGGGCACGGTTCTAGGCACTTTACAAGCATCATGTCATGAAATGCTACCAACAGTCTTATGAGTTTGAGCATTGTTCTCTACTTTACAGATAAAGAAACTGAGGCACAGGTTGTTCAAGAACCATGCCCCAAGGCCCAGAGGTAGTAACCAACAAAGGCTGGACTCAACCAGAGTCTACACTGCCCTTGTCATCAACCACTCATAGTTATCACTGTGATGCTTTGCCTCTTACCTGGTTGGCCCATCCACACACCATCCTAGGCCTGGCTCTAGTCCTGTCCTTGTCATGAGACTTTCTCTAGGCTCAGGTTGGCATTCCAGATCCATCTCTCAACAGGCAAGTGAATTCACATTTCTGGACCTTAATTTTCTCGTCTGTGAAATGGGGACAGTAACAGTGCCTACCCAAGGATTACTGTGAGGATGAAGTGGGACAGTGTGTCTGAAGCACTGGGCACAGGCTCTTGTGCATAGTAAGCACTTGACGAATAACGTTCTCATTGACATTCTTCATGTCATGGCGCATTCCCTCATCTGACCTTTCTCGAGTCCCTGTTGCTCATGGTCTGAATAACATAACCCAATACTTGATAGGATCTTTTTGTCTCAGGTCCTACATGCACATCTGTCTGGTTTATGAGGCCAAGCGAAGAGCCTCTGGAAGGGGGAGGATGTTTCTGATAGGACTTGGGCATCATAGCATCTCTTCTCACATGATCCATCTTCATTAAATATTTGTCAGATCGATCGGCCTCACAGAAGCATAAGTACAGGAGTTACATTTACAACACTTCTGGTTCTTGGGAGTTGTTCAGAATATTCTGTGCTTCACTAGACCGAAATGGAAGTGAGCATCTGAAGATATGATAAGGAAAGTGTCTAGTCTTTAACAGAGATTGTTCCATCGAAAGGTCTTGAGAATTATAAAGTCAAGATGGAAAGATGGTCCAGGGTCCTGAAACCACGGCAAGAGTCTCCATCACTGGTGCCAGGACTCGATCCAGAGAGCTCAGGGTTGAGGCAGGAGGGCCTCATGTTGTTAAAAGACCTGTTCCTCAGTTTGATTCTCCCACAGAGCTTTCTTATTCTGCCGAACTCAGTCCAAATAATCTTCATTTTCCACCCAACATTTGGAGGTGTGCTTCCTGACATATCTGAACCACCGCTTCTATTTGGAAACACAGCTGCCCTTCTTTGATGCTTAGCCAAGCTTCCGTCGTCATATTTTTAGCTCCTCTAATCTTTCTTCTCTCTTTTTTCCTTTCCTTTCCTGCTACCTTTCTTCTCTTCAGTTTCTCTTAGTTCTTATTCTTCCTGGAGGATCAGCTAATAAAGAAGAAATGGAGCCAATGATATTCATTCTTTTCTTCCCCGCTTTATAGCCCCTCCCCCCAAATTCTAGTGGAATTTAGTTGTTTCTAATTTCCTCAGATGTTTTTATTTTAACACCCAAGCAGTAAACTTCCACACCCATGTGGGAACATATCTGAGGTTTGTGATGCAGAAGAAGAGAACAACTTTGGATGAGAGAGAATTTGAGAAGATTCCTAAACGATGATACAAATTCCGAGGACCAATGATTTAGACCACATGTGCTGAATAAGCACCAATCATGGGCCAAGTGCATACACTCCTGGTGCTCTGTCTGCCTTCTCACCAATTCTCACCTCATTGTGCAGATGACTCGCACTTCTTCATTTCCAACCCAAACCCTACCCAAGTTCTCAGATGAGCCCACCTGGATGCCCCACAGACACCTCTAACTCACTATGTTTAAGACCAATTCTTTCTCTTCCCTCGCCCCCATCAGAACAAGCAAACTACATCCTCTCTCGAATTTTCCATCACTATTTGTCTGAGCCACAATCCTGGGAGACAGGATCAGTAACAACACAATGGTGAGCCCAGCCTAATGCTAAAGGAAATTCAAGAATACAGATCCTGTCTTTATTTAAAATGTTGCTATTCTGTTCATCATGGCTGTTTTTGCACTCCTTTAGATTTTTTAAAATATTGCATTATAAGGCCAGGCACGGTGGTTCACACCTGTAATCCTAACATTTTGGGAGGCTGAGGCAGGAGGATTTCTTAAGGCCAGATGTTTGAGACCAGCCTGAGCAAGAGTGAGACTCCATTTCTACAAAAAAATAGAAAAATTGCCCGGCATGGTGGCACACACCCGTAGTCCCAGCTACTCAGAAGGCTGAGGTGGGAGGATCTCTTGAGCCCAGGAGTTGGAGGCTACAGTGAGCTATGATTGGACCACTCCAGCCTGGGCAACATAGCAAGACTCCATCATTAAAAAAATAAAATTAAAAAAAAAATAAGGAGGCAATGTAGCATAGTGCTTAAGACTGTAGGCCTGGAGTCCCACCATCTGGGTTCCAAGCCAGCTCCATGACTGTGTGACTTTTGGGTAAGTCATTTAACTTCTCTGTGCACTGGAGGGCAGGGGTAAAGGTACTAGGAGGATTATGTGAAATGTGACCATAGACACCCTGCACTGCCTCAGTACAGTCTTCACTAAATGTCGCTAGTGCTGTCTCCATGCTCAGGCTCCCTCCTCCAGGGCTCTCTCCATGCCATGACTGCCCTTTGAGCAGAAATCATCCTAACTGGAGTTTTAAAGACACAAGAATGACGCAAACTCCACCAGTTTAGGTCTCCCAGCTTCTTGGAGAATCCTGCTGCCCTTGGAGGCGGAAAAGGGCCCGATTGCACAGCACAAGCAGGCAAACAGACAGACAGACACTAACCTCTTCCTGGAGGCCCAGGGGCTGCATGCAGTGTCCTCACTCTTTCCATGAAATAAAGCTGTTAAACGCCTCAGGCACGTAAAGCATTGAAATGAATATCTCAGGCTGCTCCTGCTGGAGGCCAGGGCCACATAACTGAGCGAAAGACCTTGAGCCGTTAAGCGCTGTGACCTAGACACACTGGGCTGTATTTTTAGCCTCTTGTGCACTGTTTCCACCACCTGTGCTGGGGGCTTTAAGCCGGAAAAGAGAAGGTGGGGGTGGGGCAGGTGGGAGGGATGCTTCTCTCAGCAGCCAGTGGGGGCAGGAGCTTGCACGTCGTTTCTGAGTTCTGTTGTACCTAGGGCCAATTTCATGGCTGTGCAACCTGTGTATCGACACAGGTCCCCAGGCTTGGAAGGGCCCCACATTGGCTCTGCTGTCACCATCTTGAAATTCTTAATAACTTTGGACAAAGAACCCACATTTTCATTTCTAACTAGACTCTGCAAATTACATAGCTGGTCCTGGTTATACGCAAGGGACAGCTGCCAGCCTGGGGTGGGGTGGCAGGTTGCCTTCCTACAGGGGGCAGGATGGACCGAAGGTACTATCACAAGGCATGGATGCCCACATGTGGCCAAATAAACCTTGTTTCAAACCTCCTGTGTGCCCTTCCTATTTTCTCCCCTGAAACCGGAATGAGATGCAGAAAGAACCTTATAAACTGTAGAGAACTGCATGTTGCTAAAGTCTTTCCCCAGCATCCTGTTTAAAACGGTCCACAGACCATTCTGTCAACATCGTTTTCTCATCTTTGCAGTACTTTTTGGTCTCTAGCATTTGCATTTTCTCAGGTCGGTTGACTAGAATGTAAGCTCCGGGAGGAAGGTTTGGTCTTGGCGGTGGCTGTGTCTTCAGCACTTGGCATGTTCCTCTCTGAATATCTGTTGAAGGAAAGCAGGTTTGCCGTCACTGAGTGTTGGCTTCGTGCAGATGGTTTCGCCTGCATCTTCTCATTTCAGTCTCTTCCAAGGCGATCCTGCCTGAGAGGTTGCAAAAGTCAGGGATGAAGGTGTTACCGAAAGCTCAGCACTTATCCTCGAGGCCACATCAGAAGAACGAGGACACGTGGTTTGAGGCAAAGGAGGAGGATGGAGACTACTGTCTAAAAATGTCAGCGTCTTAATAAAAAGCAGAAATACAGAGATTTTAAAGGGTGGGTTCTCAGCTTCAGGCAGTTGTTCAACTACAGGTGATGATTTTAATCCTCCCATCTCTGTCCCATCTCTGCTGAAGACAATCTTGTGACCTCCACCCAGGACCTCCCTAGCTCAGGCCATCTTGTGTAGCACAAAGAACAAAAGACATTCCCCTGCCCCTCTCAACTGTTGGCCTCAGGCAGGGATGTGGGACCTAGTTCTCCAAAAGGAGTGGGGAGTGTTTTAAAGAGACATAGAACATTTTTTGTCATTTTTTCAGGCCATTTCCTCTGTTACAAAGGGTTCTCAGATCCTGCTGGAGAAGGTGTGGAAGGGCCCAAAATTGTGGAAAAGAGTCACCAGGTAGGCTATGGAGGGTGTGTCCCCCGAGACCAGGCATGGCTGGGAGAGGGGGTGTCCATATGCTCCATCAAGGAGCCCAGAGAATTTCTGAACTCGGGAATGACACCATGAAAACAATGACCGACAAGATTCTTCTTGCCACAGCGCTGGGTAGAGTGGGTGGAGAGGGACAGAAAGTGAGAGGCTTCCTGGGAGGTAGCTGCGCCCTTGGGGCCCGGTTCTGGGAGCAGCCCTGGGTGGGGAATGGCATTTGGGGGAACGCGGGCTCTGGGAGTGGGTGAGGGGGCGGCTTCCGGGTGGTAAGCGGGTGCAGGGACGGGTCTACCTAAGGCAGGCCTGGGAGCCCGCGGGGCCGGTACCGCCCAGCCCTGCTCTGCGTGCAGCGAGTCGGCGCACGAGGGCAGATGTTCCCGCCGCCGCGGGAACACTTGCAAGCCCGGACCAGGGACTTGAAAGCTCCGGCGCGCCGCCCAGACCTGCCCCGCCGGGCGTCACCGCGGCGCTTTAGGCGGGAGCCGTAGGAAAATCCCCCCTGCCCGGGGGAGCGCCGGGGAGGAGGGAGGCCCACCACCGACTCCGGCTGCGGCGGGGGAAGACCTTGGAGGGGCAAAGGGCCTACCACGCGGGGGCCGAGGGCTTAAGCAGGACACGCGCTCTCTGATCCCCAGCGTCCCAATCTGCAAGATAGTAGCTCTGTCCAGTCCGCCTCTGGACTTCGTCGGGGGCGCTTTACTTGCGCCCCACTATCCCATCTCCTGGGAAGGCCTTTTATTACTCCTATTCTGGGATGGCTGCAGCTCAGACCAATCAGGAAACTTGCTCTGGCTGACACAGAATGTGTGATAGGATTCGGAACCAGGGCTCGGTATGCTGCCTCCTTTGTGGCTGCGAGACTGGGGGTGAGAAAGGAACTCAACATTTGCTGTACGTGCGTAAAAATTTCCATGCATTATCTTATTTAGTACAACCGCTTTGGGGAGTAGTTGCTATCATCACCCTCATTTAACAGATAAGGAAATTGAGGTAAGAGCTATTTTTCCTTTAAATCTGCCCAAGGTGACCGAGTGGGATGCGAATCCGGACTGGCTGGCTCCAAAGCACCCTTTTTTGAACCACTACGATGAGCCAAGCAGGGAAAAAGGGTTTGCAAACTGCTGTTCTCATTATCACCGCTGTGGTTGAGCCCGCGCGTGGGTCACGACCCGAGCGAGGGTGGAGCGGGGGTCACTGGGCGCCCCGCCTGCTTCAGCCGGGCCAAACCTCAGCGTGGGGACTTGGAGGCGGGGCCCTGGGCCCCGCCCCTCACCTGCTGACCCCTCCCCTGGATCAGACTAATGGGGAGCCCCATGGGGCTGGCCCAGGTGAGGGGAGGTGGGCGGGGCCTGGTGCGTGAGTGGCAGGCGCGGCGCGGGGCGGAGCGTGCATGCGCAGTCGGCTCCGCCCCTCAGGCCTCACAGCGGAGCCGGGCGGGCCCCCGGCTGCGGGGCGGCGGCGGCGGCGCTGGGGAGGGCGGGGCGGCCGGGCAGGCGGGGCGGGGCCACGCTCGGGCCCCGCGTCCCGCTCCCATGGCCGCCCCCGGCTCCCTGCGCTGCCCCCTCTCCCCCGGGCCGCGCCCCGGGGCCCCGCACTGACGGCCCATGGCGCCGCCCGCCGCCCGCCTAGCCCTGCTCTCCGCCGCCGCGCTCACGCTGGCGGCCCGGCCCGCACCCAGCCCCGGCCTCGGCCCTGGACCCGGTGAGTGAGCGACCCCCGGCGCCTGCCCTGCGCCGAGCCCGCCCGAGGGGCAGCGCGGGCCGGCCAGCCTGGGGCCCACTCCCTCCCGCCGCAGCGCCTCTCGGGCCCCCTTTCCCCGGCCCCTCAGCGACGCCCCGGGCCCGGCTGCTGTCCCCCGGCTTCAGGACCTGGTTCTCCTCAGCGACCCCCCTCAGGCTGGAACGCTCTCTCCGCCTCAGTACCTCCCGGGACCCCTTCGCCAAGCCCCTCGGCGACGCCCCCGGGGCCGGGACGCCTCCTGTCTCAGAGCTCGGGACGCGCCGCCCAAGTCTCTCGGAGACTCCCCCGGGCCAGGCCGCCCCTGCTGCCCAGTACCCCCTGGGATCCCGTCCCCAGGTCTCTCAGCGACGCACCTCGGGCCAGGACGGCTCCCTCGCCTCAAGACGCTGCACCCTCTCCCCAAGACCCTCAGTGACACCCCTTGCCGGGGCCAGGATCCCCGCCCCGAACCTCACAACGGCGCCCCCGCGTCCCCTAGCCCTCTCCTCCCGCCTCCACCGGGGGACCCTGCGCCTCTCGGCGGGAGCCGGCGCTCAGCCCTTCTGCCTGAGTCCCGGCTGCGCCCACTTGGCCGACACTAACTTTTGAGAGGAGCCGGATTGACTTACCTGACCTGCTACAGGCAGGTCAGGGTCCTGAGACGACCCGCTGTGCACTCCCGGGACGCCTCGTCCCTACCCGCTGGGCCGCTTTGAACTTCCCTGTGACTCAAGAGATAGCCCAGCAGGGGGAGAGGAAGAAAGGAAGGAGTGATGGGGAAACCTGTCCCCGACAGAGCTTAGGGTGCTCCACCTGAGGGTGCAACGCTGAGCCCCATGTCCTGGGTAACCCCACACTTTAAACAGGTCACCCGCTCCCCACGCCAAGGCCACATCTTCCCGAGGTGGGGCCGTGGACCAGGATGAAAGTTTGGAATTTGCTTAGCGTCCACACACACCCCTCCTTGTAGCAGAATCCTTTCCAAGTTGAAGAGCAGGCAAGAGGGCGTTGCCTGGCCAGTTACGTTTCTCTGCAGGTTGTTTGGGTGTTGAGCATCCGACATTTGTGAAAGGGACGGGAAGAGTTCATTACCATTCTGCCTGAGTAGGAAAACCAGCTTCTAGGTTCTCCACCCAAAGTCTCAGACTGTGATGTTGGAAGGACAGGATTTTGCTGGCGAAAGAAACTCAGCGTTGCTTTGTTAATTTAATTGCTTGGATTGGTGAAAAAGCTAAGACTTGGTGTTATCACTTGCTGTATGACTTTTGGGCCATGCCTTCAGCTTCTGGCCTCAGTTTCCTCATCCGCATGATGGGGGGAGGTAACGATAATTCCCTTGCAGGGTGTTGTGAAAGTTAAATGATATACTGTAGGTAACACACTCACATATAGAAGGCAGTCAGTAAACACTTTAATAATACTTTTTATAGGGCTTCACAGTTCATCAAGTGCTAGACACCTCATTTACCCTGGGAATGCTATGAGCTTTCTGCCTGATTGATCCCTGTAAAAGGCGAAAGTTGGCTTTAGATCAGTAGAATGGGGGTCTGCTAGTGCTGTAAACCCGAGGCTCACTAAGTGGTTTCTGAGTGATCTCCACCTTCTACGGGACTTCTACAGTTTGATTACTTCTACTTTTGTGAGGAGTAAGGGAGGGACATTCCGAGAGCCAAGATATGTCAACATGACTGTAACCTAGTAACCCCTTAGCTCCACTGTGCCATCTGTGTGGTCAGGATTTAATGTCCTCTGAGAAGGTATGGGTGGAAATGAACTGGTTCCCCTTCTGGAAAGGGCAGAATAGCAGCTCTGAAAAGCGTCAAGTGAGCCAACCCTCGTGCTTACGCTTGTTGGAAGGTGGCATCTTCTCCCAGGCACCTTTGCTTTGCTAGGGTCAAGTACAGATAGTTGAATCCCAGATCTTAGTGTGCTTTTATTTAGGAGTCTGGGGTAGGGGCAAATAACCATTGTGAAATGATTTGTGATAAGTGGCCCAAGTTCCCAATTCAGTGAATCCTGCCAGCTTGGTTTGCTACTGTCCTTGTACATTGGTGCGTTTGTGACTTTTCCTCTCTGGTTTCAGAAGCAGTTTTAGGGAAATACCACATGGTCTTCAGTATCACATCCTGTCTAGAGCCTACCCACTAGTTTTTAAATCCTTCCCAATAAAAAAAACACACTTTACTCTGAGGATTTTATATTTTTTGATACTGTAATTTTCTCTAAAATTTTGTGGATGGAAAAAATTATTTCAATACTTATATTCTGCACAATTTTGTAATATTTAAATTACGGGTGGTTTGCATTTTTGAATGCTGACTTTATAAAAACAGTTAGCTCATTCCCCATCAATGCTACTTCTAATTACAGTGTTTAGCCAACCCCAAATGATCTCCCTTTTCTTCATTCTTCAAGATTCTTTCCCTTCCTTCACAGCTGATAGAAAGGAAGATAGAGGTTAATTGTGGAATCTAGACTTTCCTCTCAAGGAGGAAGGCAGCCTGGATCATGGGGCTGATGGATTCTCCCCAATGGGCTTCCATCTGGCATTTACTAACCTGGGGGGAAGAGACAAGAGGTAGGAGCAGAAGAGAAGGCTGGGTGGACTTTGCTAATTGGGTTTTCCACCTAAGGCAAACTGCATAACGTTTGGGGGCTATTAGGTGTGCATCAACAGAGCTTCTCCACTCAGCTTAAATAGCCTTTTATAAGTTTATAAATTGACGTTCATTCTTTTCTAACCCTCATCTGGAATTTGTCCCACTAGCCAATGGTATGTCTAAAACCTATGAGTTCAGTTGACAGCAAGAGCTTCATGGTCTCTACAGTCTTGCCCCTTTTGGGGACTTCATTAATGGCAATAGAGTTACCTGTAAGCAACATGGGGGCTGAGGCAGTGAAGGAATAAAGCATGCGTAACAGTTACTTACGTGTTCTGAGTATTTGAAGAGACACTATTTTGACCTGGTATCAAAGAACTCTGATCCTTTTGTGAAATTTTGTTTTGGCCCCTAGACAAACCATTTAAATCTTTGAGGTATGCAGTGAGCCTAGGCTCACTATTAATAAATAGCAAGTTGGTGTACTCAATATAGATATTGATACACTCATGGTTTAGCATAGTTGGACCAAAACCAATAAATGATTAAGAGAAAATATATTGCTTTAAATAGCTTCACTATATACAGATTAGGGATTTGGGGGTGATATACCATCTCTAGTTTACAATTTTTGAGGCTATAATGCTACCTGAGGCTCTAGGTCAGGTGTGGGCTAACATTTTTTGTAAAGGGCAAGGCAGTAAATAATTTGGCCTTTGTGGGCCATATACTGTTTTTGTTGAAATTACTCAACTTTGTAGGGCAAAGCAGCCATAGACAAAACATATGTGAATAGGCATGGCTGCGTTCCAGTAAAAGTTTGTGGACACTAAAATTTGGATTTCATGTAATTTTTATTTACAAGATATTTTCTTTATAATTTTTTCAAAATTAAAAATTTTAAACTCAGGGAGTGGGCCACATTTGGCCCACAGGTTGTACTTTGCCAGGTCTTTCTCTGGGTCCATATCTATTGATTTTTTCATTGTTCACTGGTCTACAAAAGGTGACAAGGAGATTTTGGTGAGTGAATGAACATTTTACCATTTACTGTTAACTAACTTCGATAAATATGGGAGAAAGGATTAAGACGATACGTTTTATGTTATGTTTTACCATAATTTTTTAAAAAGATACATATGAGGGAAAGTTCACATACATACATTTGGATCTTTAATAAGGCTTTTTAAAAAATGCTTCAAGGAGAAATTCAGTGTGGTTCAGTGTGCACAACATAAAGAAAATAGTGCCTGCCTCAGAACTGGCCTATGGTTTTTGTTCAATTACGCCTGCAGATGTTGCTTGGAACAAACCGTTGAGGGATCTGTTTCTCAGAGGAAAGCCCAGGCAGCAGGTGGCACCAGCCCTGAGACATAGAAAAACAGCAAGGAACAAAAAAAAAAAAAAAAAAAACCAGAAAAGAAAAAGAAGAAGAAAACAAATTTCTGTCACTTTCCTAAGCAGTTAATTTTTATTTCCATGGTCCTATTGTTATATTTCAAGTAGTTTTTAAAAAACAACAATGTGCTTAGCGTGGCTGATTATTTTGTTTTAATTAAAACATTTCTGAAAAAACAAAATGAAACATTCAAACATACCAAGTTGATTGTGTTTGTACTGTGGAACAGTTAATGCAAAACACTTGAGAGAGGCCGGAAGTTTGGATCCGTAGCTTTTGCCTGAGTTTTTGCCTCCTGAATAAAGACAACATAGGAGGAAGTGAACGTGTCCCTTAGAAAACTAACAGTATAGGTTTTGAAGTGAGATCAAGCCCCCTGATGCCACTTGGCAGGTTGTTTTCTGGCTGGCTGTGCAGCCTCTGTATGGATGAGAACGATGACTGACAATTCCTTCCACGTTCAGTTTGACCTTGAGAATCCAGCAGGAACCCGGAAGTATTAGTCTAGGAGGAATAGTCCAAGGTTACTCTATTTTTTCTTCCTCTTGCTGTCAATGTCTTCCTCCCAAAATGGCAGTACTTCCCCCTCCCCGCCCCCAGGTCAACCTCTGACGCATTGTCTTGATTCAGACTGAAGAGGGATGGAAAGAGGCCACCGTAGAAATGTCAGATGGGTGTCCATACACCTCACTAATAACCACTCGACAGAAACGTGCCTTGTCCTCCTCTAAAGGAATCTCTTCTCTCCCCTCCCCTCTTTTGTTTTCTTTCTAGGTAAACACCTCCCTAGCCTGGACTTGTACCAGTTTGAAGAGGAATGAAGTTAGGTGCTAGGGAGTACCTTGGCAGACAAAAGCTTTTAGGCCACCTCACATGCAAAGTTGCCTGTCTCTCCCCAGGTTACACAACAGGACCCTCTCAGGGCTGCCCCTCTGCTGGGCCCAGCTTCTAGTTTCTCTTGCCACAGACTTAATCCCTGGCAA